AGCTCGTTATAGTAACGAGTCGAATCGATTTAGCTCGTTAACGAAACAAGCTCTAGCAAGTCGAACCGAGCTGGCTCGACTCGGCTTGAATTCCAGCCCTATACACACACGAACCTTGGATTATCTCACTCTCCCTACTTTTTTCTTTGCGAAAACCACGAGGTTGCTCACGTCATCGAGTCAAGCATAGTACTCTCCATTCCACGAGTAGATGGATAGGCAATCGTATAGGTGAACTGTTTACGGGTGATTGAGCACTGTAATAGCTTACCCATGTGTGCAATTTTCTAACATGCGTAAGCTTAAGTTACATCCTTTTCTTCTTCAAAACTAGCAGAAATTCGCGTCCATACTGTCGCCCGCTCATTTTGCCTCACGATTCGTGCAGTAATTTTGCACGTGGGCATAATAAGTTTTAAGTTTTAATGCTGAAACATACGGTTTTTGCATCTAAAACTGCTAAGTTTCAACCACTATCAAAAATATAATTTTAAGTAATTTTTTTTCTAAATTTCATAGACAGAAAATAATTGATTTTTATCGGTCGCTCGCACTAAGTTCAACATTGATTAACATACTTCTTCAAAGTCATCGAAATACATTTAAAATTGATCTTATTTGAAAGGTTGGTCACGGGAAACATGAATATGAAAACAGAACATAATTTGAATCTTTTATTTAAAAGATACAAAACTTTGATAATCGAAAGCCAAAATAAAAAGTGCACACTAGGAACATGGGTACTTCGGCACTTGCGTGCCCCAAATCCTCATCCCACAATTAGAGGGGCAATTGGCCCAAAAATGCCAATGAAGACCTAGCACCATATAGCTCGGTATTAAAATACCATCTTACAAAGCGTGAAAAAAAGTTGATTTTTTTGTAAATACACATACACATGCATATAACGCATGTGCAAAAATTTACACCACCATACTTCAACAGGTGGTGCGCATAAAAAGGCAAATGTATATTTTAAATTTGTTGATTTTTTTTGGCTGTCGCGCCGGAATTTTCTTTTTTCCTGTACAACCTACAAATGACAATATTTTCAAATGAAACTTCACACATTTTATACTGAGAATATATAAGTTTCCACTGATTTGTTTAATTTTTCTTGAAACTTTTAAATATGGTTTATGATTTTCTTTTAGATACCGACCTCTGCTCGGCGTCCATCCGTGTGCACTAGCAAATGGGTAGCTACTGTATGACCCGTCCTAATGCGTAAAGTTGCAGCTTGTTTAATTTCAAATAGTGACGGGGTGAATCTATGCCCTGGGATGTCTGGTTATTGTTGCATCACAGAGTTAATAGCAGAAGTATGTTGTTTTTTCATTGTCAGATATATTTTTTCCTTGTCTCCTTACTTTGTGTATACTTTTACTTTTTACAAATGAGAAAATACCGAAGAACGTTTGTAATCATTCTGTGGTAACTGAGTCGAAAATCAATACAAAGTAGTAACAATAATAATGTGCTGCTGGGTTGAATGGTACATAGATACTCTCATCTTATATGATGAAAGGATAATCTTTTTTTGAACAGGAAAGGCCTAGAAAGGTCTAATACTGCATTAATAAACCAATGGGGCAGTACATTTTACATAGGGACCCAAGAGAAAGATATCATACACAACTAAGCCCCTGACTTATGCAAGGAGCACCTCAAACTAAAAATAGAAACACAATCGGGTCCTCTGCAACTTCCCCTCGGATTGAATGTCGCCGCCACCCGAGATGAACCACTTGGGGCGTCGAAGTCGCCATGGCTGCATCGTCTGCCAGCCATAGCATCTGAGAAAAAGCTGGATCTTCCTCCCTTTTGGCACGCATGCCGGGAGGAAAAGGGATGGCTGCCCTTCGGCCAAAAAAACAATATGATGATGAAGACCGGCAACATGCCGGCCCCGTCGCTCATCGAAGAAGCCTTTGCAAATGAGCTTGAAGACGATCTGCAATCTTCAACAACTTGAATCATCGTCTACCATCATTCACCACCATGGCAGCCTGAATAAGAGATCGTTGATGGAAGAGTACTCCAGATTAGGGGAGAGGATGAGGTTATTCGAATAGGGGGGCTCGTGTCAGATCCACCTTTGGTTGCCACCAACCTCTGTGGATAGCTTGCTTGGGAAGCATTCTCGGTCGCGTCGGTAGGGAGGAAGATGAGGACATGTCACCAATCGCCACAATGGCAATACACGACCTAGTCTTAGCTCTACTATTAATACTACTAGATGCTTCGTTGCGCCAATTGGCGCAGAGACCAACTGCAACCCGGAAGCTAAGCGAACTATCTGAAGGACCTTTTCCTGAACTGTCCGCAAATGATCATGTTCATACCGCGTTTCGATTTGCCTTGGAATTGATCATTGCGCATAGCTTTCTCTGGCGATTTGTATTTGATGACACGAGACTCTGTTCATGTTGAAAGTTAAGCGAGCAAACTATCTGAAACATAATATGAAAGTTAAGTGGACTATATGTCTCTCTCCATCTCAATCAACCCAAGAAAGTTGACTCGAACCCATTTTTGTACTAAGATTAGGTTGATAACCCACTGTGGAGGGCATTCTCCCTAATAAAGTGGATATCTCTGATCCTGCTTGAACAAAATGAAAGATATTATAGATAAATCAAAGCACGTCTTGGTTATTAACATCTCCGAAATATCCTACCATGGTTAGGGCATTTAAACAAACTCTCATACGAGCTCCCGGTGGTTCATTCATTTGGCCATAGACTAGTGCTACCTTTGATTCCTCAATATTTTTTCATGGTTGAACTTAAAATCCTCTCTTTCTCCGGTAGCCCAAAAGTTAACTGAACTATTTGAAACTATGCCCAAGAAGTTAAGCAACATTATGGTCATCACGCCAATCAAATGTTCGTTCCATAAATCATCCTGAGAGGCCACAACCCTTGTCAAAGGTCCGAGCCATGCAAAGGTTTGTTGAGGAGAAAGAAGATGACAGTGGATGTTATCATAGACGATACCTCCTACTTGACATGACCGCATAATTATTCATCACTGACCCTCCTATATAGCGGTCGGTCATCGATATTTGCTCAAAAGCTATTTGACCCTGTTCCCGCGTTGATCAACGAGAATGTAAAACTAATGAACTATTTGAAACTATGTCCAGGAAGTAAAGCAACGCTATGGTCATCACGTCAATCAAGTGTTTGTTCAATAAATCATCCCAGAGTCCATTAGCATGTAAAACTAATGAACTATTTGAACTATGTTCAGGAAGTTAAGCAACGCCATGGTCATCCCACCAATCAAATGTCTGTTCTATACATCATCCCTAGGGCCATTAGCATGATTAACTACAAAACCATTGCCAAAGGTTCGAGGCATGCAAAGGTTCTTTGAGGATAAAGAAGACAACGATGAACGTTATCACAGACAATACCTCCTAGCACATGATAATTATTCATCACTGATCCTCCTATTTAGTGGCCAGTCATTGATATTTGCTAAAAAAACATGTATCGAGCAATGGCTTCAAGCCCAATAAGAAAATTGATCGGACCCAAATAAGGGCAGGTCAAAATTTTCATCAGAAACAACACAAGAAAAAAAAAGGGGGGCAACACAAATCTTGACAAAAAAAATCAATGGTCAGAAAATTGACTTACACAAATTTAAAATAACATGCAAGTTAGACAAATGCTAAAGTGTAATGAATTACATGCATTTTTCATGTATGGCTAAAGAGCATAAACACTATAGAATTGACATTAGTTTTGACGCACTTCCGAGCGAACGCTCTGCAGACTGTTGGATTGAGGCTCACGAATCTCGACACATTTGCTGGGAAGGCCATTGGTAGGGAATGCGCGGACAAAACAAAATCGTTCGATCGATTGACACGACATGGGGGAATGACCTTCATGGGGGAACTTTTTTTTCTGTATATTTACGTCATGACAATTTTTATGTGCAACATCAGAATGTATTTCTAATGGACATGACAAATATCTAAACACATGTGTGGCAATTTCTATTCTCACATCACGACAATTCTTTATCTTATAGCATGGTAATTCTCCTCCTTGCATCATGACAAATCATAGATATTTTGTGACAACTCTCTCCTGCTATAGGATGGCAAGTTTCATTTTCTTGCCATGTGTGGTTCTCTGGTACGCATGGCAAATTCCTGACAACCTTCCAATAATTTCTTTTAAACATGACAAACCTTTATACAATAACATGACAAATATACCTGTTATAGCATGATAATTTTTGAGCGTTCGCCAGGAGCAGTTTTTAGAGGAAACACTCCCAGATTACACCGTTCGCTCAAAAGAGCCTCTCGGAGGGAACGGTTCGTTCACTCGGATGACCTCCGTGAGAGAACGTCGGCGCGTTATTTGCGGTGTTAAAGAAACATCACAGCCCCAACAAAAAGCTGCCCGAAACCGCAGCAAAAACAAATGGGGAAAAGAAGAAGGGAATGTTTCACGTTTTCACATGGATCCCCCGTCGTTTTAGCGAGTCTTGCCACACAATGTGAAGAGATACAGAATATGGGAGGGACAGACACTAGCTAAACTTAGCCGACAGCCGAGGATGCTTTGATTCCTCGGGGAGAGAATCCTCCGGGCCAGACACCGCAAGCTCGCGTACACTGAAAGCCTCATCAGGAAAAAAGCAGGTCCGGCAAAGACACAGCTAGGTCGACCGACTGGCAGCGGCAAAGTCCCAAAGTTGGCGAAGAAAACAAATCCATGTGACCCCGTTCGTCCCACCCTCCCTCCCGTGCCGTGCGTGCGCCCACATATACTTTTTCTCTGATATTGATATACGGATATCACTCACACTCACCAGTCACCATGGACATCTTTACTCCTCCCACCGGCCTTAATTTCCTTCGACACTTGCCCTCAAGCAATCACTTAACCACACACAAACTTCATCTCCTCTCCTCTTCTTGTAGCACGCACGCACCAACCAACTGTCCATCTTTCGCTCACACTCTTCCAATCATGTCTTAATCAGTAAGGCTACCGCGCTTATATATAACCACGCGTCCTTGTAGTGGCTACGAGCTAGCTCGCTAAGCTTCGTCGTAACACCACCACGGCCCATTCGTTTACAGTCCACGCACGGCGGCGGCGGCGGCGGCGGCGGATATATATACCTTGACGCGCTGCTGCCGGTGCAGTAACAAGATGCTGATGAGGCTGCTGCTGCTGGTGGCCCTTGCCGTGGCGGCGGCGGCGGCGGCCGCCGCGGAGACGGAGCAGCGCGCCACGTACATAGTTCACATGGCTAAGTCCGCGATGCCCGCCGAGTACGCCGACCACGGCGAGTGGTACGGCGCCTCCCTCCGCTCGGTGTCCACCGGTCGCGCCGCCGCTGCCAAGATGCTGTACTCCTACGACACCGTCCTGCATGGCTTCTCGGCGCGGCTCACGGAGCAGGAGGCCAGCGACATGGCGGGCATGGACGGTGTCCTGGCCGTGAACCCCGAGACGCGGTACGAGCTGCACACCACGCGGACGCCTGAGTTCTTGGGGCTCGCCGGGAGCGAAGGCCTGTTCCCGCAGTCTGGCACGGGCGGCGACGTCGTCGTCGGGGTGCTCGACACAGGCGTCTGGCCTGAGAGCAAGAGCTACGACGACGCGGGCCTCGGCGAGGTGCCGTCGTCGTGGAAGGGCACGTGCATGGCTGGAACTGACTTCAACTCCTCGGCCTGCAACCGGAAGCTCATCGGCGCGCGGTTCTTTAACCGGGGCTACGAGGCGGCGATGGGGCCCATGGACACGAGCAGGGAGTCGCGCTCCCCGCGCGACGACGACGGGCACGGGACGCACACGTCGTCCACCGCGGCCGGCGCAGCTGTCGCCGACGCCGACCTGTTCGGGTTTGCGTCTGGCACGGCGCGCGGCATGGCGCCCAAGGCGCGCGTGGCCGTGTACAAGGTGTGCTGGCTCGGCGGCTGCTTCAGCTCGGACATCCTCGCCGGTATGGACGCCGCCGTCGCCGACGGCTGCGGCGTGCTCTCGCTCTCGCTCGGCGGTGGCTCCGCCGACTACGCGCGCGACAGCGTCGCCATCGGCGCCTTCGCCGCGATGGAGCAGAACGTCCTGGTGTCCTGCTCGGCCGGGAACGCCGGGCCCGGGAGCGCCACACTCTCCAACGTGGCGCCTTGGATCACCACCGTGGGCGCGGGCACCCTCGACCGCGACTTCCCGGCGTACGTTCAACTCGGGAACGGCAAGAACTACACCGGCGTGTCCCTCTATGCTGGGAAGGCCCCGCCGTCGACCCCGACCCCCCTCATCTACGCGGGCAACGCCTCCAACTCCACCAGCGGAAATCTCTGCATGCCTGGGACCCTCTCGCCGGAGAAGGTGCAAGGAAAGATCGTGGTCTGCGACCGCGGCATCAGCGCGCGCGTCCAGAAAGGCTTCGTAGTGCGCGACGCTGGAGGTGCCGGCATGGTGCTCGCCAACACCGCAGCCAATGGGCAGGAGCTCGTCGCCGATGCCCACCTCCTGCCCGCGGCCGGCGTGGGTGAAAAAGAAGGTACCGCTATAAAGTCTTACATAGCATCCGAGTCCAAGCCGACGGCAACGATTGTGGTCGCCGGGACACAGGTGGACGTGCGCCCGTCGCCGTTGGTGGCCGCGTTCTCGTCGCGCGGGCCAAACATGATCACGCCGGAGATCCTGAAGCCGGACATCATCGGGCCGGGGGTGAACATCCTGGCGGCGTGGACCGGCAAGGCGGGGCCGACGGGTCTCGCCGCTGACACGCGCCGCGTCAACTTCAACATCATCTCCGGCACGTCCATGTCGTGCCCGCACGTGAGCGGCCTCGCGGCGCTGCTCAGGAGCGCGCACCCGGAGTGGAGCCCCGCCGCCGTGCGCTCGGCTCTCATGACGACCGCCTACTCCACGTACACCGGCGGCGCCGGGTCGCCCATCCTCGACGCGGCGACCGGCGCGGCCGCCACGCCGTTCGACTACGGCGCCGGGCACGTGGACCCGACCCGCGCGGTGGAGCCAGGGCTGGTGTACGACCTCGGCACCAGCGACTACGTGGACTTCCTGTGCGCGCTCAAGTATACGCCAAACATGATCGCCGCGCTGGCGCGGAGCAAGAGCTACGGGTGCGCCGCGAACAAGACCTACGCCGTCGCCAACCTCAACTACCCGTCCTTCTCCGTGGCCTACTCCACGGCGAACGGCGAGGCCGGGGACTCCGGCGCCACCACGGTGACGCACACGCGCACGCTCACCAACGTGGGCGCGGCGGGCACGTACAAGGTGGACGCCTCGGTGTCCATGTCCGGCGTGACGGTCGACGTGAAGCCGGCCAAGCTGGAGTTCACGGCGGCCGGCGAGAAGAAGAGCTACACGGTGACCTTCACGGCGGCCAAGTCGCAGCCGTCGGGCACCGCCGGCTTCGGCCGGCTCGTGTGGTCGGACGGTAAGCACACCGTGGCGAGTCCGATAGCGATAACCTGGACATGACACGATAGGCGCCCAGAACGGCGCAAGCCGAGCGCCAAGCGCTGACACCGTTGCTGGTGCGGCCAAAGGGTTCAGTGTGTAAAATTTGGGGGATTCGAAGGAGGGAAGGTTGAAAATTTGGTGGTACCTCAAATATCTCAAAGTGTCAATAAGGCCTCCCAATCTTAACTTTTAGATTGTGATTTGGGGGAGAAATGGTGATGATGGAAAGGAATTTGTGTGATGGTTGGTTGGATGGATGGGTGTTGCTTTCTTGGAATCAAATTATCAGTCTCGGCTAGCTTGGATAGTCGGATTGGGTTGGATCAGGTTGGACCTTTGCAAGGACAGTTTCACTGTGGACTGCTGCAACTTGTAGGGTGTAAAGTGTTCAGTCAGCAATCTTCCCTGTAAAGTGTTCTGTCTAAATTATTCTTTCTTCCATTATCAGTGAATTGATTATCCTTTTCAAGATAAATGATTAAGTGAAGATAAAAGAAACAAAGAGATGGTTGGTCACCCCTCCCCCAAAGCATAGTTCAGGTCCACACACTTGGAACTTGCGGCATTAGAGTATCTCCAGCCGTTCGCCACCCCTCCCCCAAAGGGCTTGAAATAGCGCCGTCTGGGGGCACGTCGACGATAAATTCGGCGTGGGGGCGATCGGGTTTCCAGCCGCCGTCCCATGTCGCCCCACACGCAGTACATGTCCATGTCCAGCTTGGATAGTTGGATCAAATTGCAGCTTTGCAAGGACAGTTCCACTGTGGACGGTTGCAACTTGTAGGGGATGTATCATTAGTCAGCAATATTCCCTGTAAAATGTTCCGTCTAAATTATTCTTTCCTCCATTATCAATGAATGGATTATCTTCTTTAAGATAAATGTGGTTGGTGCTGCAGGAAAGCATAGTTTGAACTCCATACACTTGGAACTTGTGGCATTAAACTTTCATTTCTATATTAGACGCATTATGCATGGATCCTACATGACCGACATCTAACCCTAATCACTGTGCTTTATACCATGCAACGAGATGTGTAAGGTAAAGAGAGGCAGGAGCAGGGCACGGCAGGGAGGGTGTGAAAGTTTTGAAAAGAAAAGAAGGCGAATAAAGGCCACACGGCTGGGCCGCTGGTTCTGGTGTTGAGAAAGGGGGCAAAGCCGAAAGGACCGAAATTATTTATACCTGTCACTCGCTTTGATAAAGCCTGAAATGAAAGCTAGAGCGGCCACGTGACATCTGCCGCTTAACAATAGAGTGGAGAATTAAAGGAGAACTAAAGATGGACGGCAAAGCAAGAGAAATGTCTCTTCGCGATCTTGCGGCATGGACCCGCGAGTTTTGTTGTTACTGTCTGCTCTAGCCTGTCTGTATGTCTATCGCTTGCCTTCTAGAAATGCAACTCGTGTGTCGATGTTGAGAACCTCGGACAAAATATCAGGATGGCAATCGGGTGAAAAGCGACAAAACTAGCCCTTTATACAAAGTTCAGCATAAAATGAACCATTTTTTTAAATGTTTCACAAAATGGCATTCTGCATGACGCCCGCACCCGGGGCTCTATGTTCGACCGCACAACGCCTTGGTCAAGGGCGCCATACTGGTTGCCGCTGACTTGCCACGTTGGCAGGGCCTGGTTACATGGTGCCATGCTCAACAGCCTGACGCCTCAGCCCAGGGCGCCATGCCCCTTGAATCCACAAAACTGGGTGTCCCCTCTTTCCCCCCCATAAACCCTCTCTTTTCCCCCTTCTCCAACCCGGCCGGCCCACTCATGCCCTTCCCTAATGCCCACAAAATTTCATGGATCGGAGCTCCAAATCGATGATTTTTCCTTCCCTTCGACCCCTCAAGGTATTGTCCCTCATTCCTCCACTTTTTGTTGGTTGAAATCTCCGCATTGTGGTGAATTAGGGAAACCCTAGGCCATCCAATTTTGCAATTTTTGTTGATGCATTTTGGTGTTTATGATTGTAGATGGCGAGGATCGTGAATGTGCGTCATGTGGACTTTTTGTCCTTTAAGAAAGGAGACGCGGAGTATGGTGACCCGCAGAAGACGCCGGTAGTGATGGTGTTTCCCACAAGTCTTAGCCTTGACGAGGTTGTGGTTGAGCTTCGAAGAAGGTTGAATTGGATGGAAGAAAGCGATTGAGTAGACTTAATCGGATGGTATAATGTTGGGTATGGGCAACATATTCACTGAAAGATAATGCCTCTTGACTCTGAGTTTCACTGGGAGGCATATAATGATAGTGTGTTGGCCTCACAAGATAAATCATTTGAGTTATTTGCCACAAAGGTTGTTCGTGCTTGGTTGCACATTGATTTGAATCTGTGTGCATCTTCATGTGATGTTAGAAGCCCGATTCAAGATTCACCACATGTTAATCCGGATGTGTATGACACAACAATGAGCCAACCTCCAATGACCCAACCTTTGAGCCCCGTCGGGAATGACCAAGTTGATAATGAAGACTTGCACATGGATAGTGATGAGTTTAAGGGTGATGAATCAGAGGCTTATCTTCGTGACCATTATGTTGGCGATGTGGAGGAAAATTGCATGGAAGAGGACATGGACCATGACATTCCATACAATAGGTCCTATGCGGGGGACTCGGAGGACAAAGGCCCGGATGAAGAATAGACGAGGATGGTTTGACGGCTAAAGAAGCCAATGCTTTCAAGAAGATAATAGGCCGGGGTCATGAGACATCATTGTTCTGTGATCTAAGCCTAGCCGATAAGGCGATTCTTGATGGTGGCACAAGTAAAATTCTTGCACCATGGTTAACTTCAAAGCAAGATACCAGGGCAAGTGTGTATGGTGTTAGTGAAGTAACAATCTTTGAAAGGTTGGTAGAACTTCAAATATAGGTGAAGGACTACGCAATTAAGTTTCATCGACCATTATTTGTGGACAAGTCAAACTCCAAATTGCGTCATGTGGTTAAATGTGAGGAACTCAAGAATCATTGCCCTTGTGTTATCCTTGCAAGATGTGTCAAAGGCATCCCGCAAATGGAAGATTACAAATTCTTTGTTTCGCCACTGATGTAGTGGCAAGAATATTGACGATGTTAATGTAAAGGATGATCACCATCAATTGACCTCCAAGTTCATTGCATACCAATTTTCGTCGTCCATATGCTCCCGGCATATCCCATTAGGGCATTGATGGAGATGGAGAAGGAGGTCTATGGGTACATGGTGAAGTATGGGAAGGCATGGAAGGCCAAGCAAGCCGCCTTTGACATATTGTATGTTGGTTGGGAAGAATCATGCAACCGCCTCGTGATGGTGTTGAAAGCGATGGTGGTAGAAAATCCGGGCATGTACTATGTGGTGGAGCCAGATGGCATGAGAACAAGGATATACAACAATGCAACTTTCTAAATATTTGAATGTGCATTCTCGACTTTTGAGCCATGCATTAGGGCCTTCAAGCATTGTAGGCCGGTTATGTCCGTGGATGGCAGATTTCTTACCGGGCAGTTCAAGGGCACATTGTTGATCGCCGTTGCTAATGATGGTGGTGAAAAATTGGTTCCATTGGCTTTCACTTTGGTGTCGGCGGAGAACAACTCCAACTGGGAGTGGTTTCTTAATCTAGTGAGGACCAAGGTAATTGGACCTCAAAGAGAGGTTTGCATCATCTCAGACTGCCACCCAGGGATACTCAATGCAGTGGAGGTTGACATTCCAGGACATCCTCGCGTGCATCATAGGTGGTGCATGAGGCATTTTGTGTCTAACTTTTACCTAGAAAGCAGATTCACATAATATCCAGTCCTGTGATAACATAGAATTGATTTACCAAGTTGATGAGCACGGTGGAATGTCGCGCAATGGCGTGCCATATGGAGGTGGCTCCTTCAAGGTTTATCTTAAGATGGGCGCGTGCTCATGCAAGAGGCCTATGTTGTATCATCTCCCGTGCTCTCACTTGATGGCTGCATCCCGCACTAGAAATTTGAGTGTGAATATGACCAACAATGTAAGATTGGAAGAGTGTTCAATCGATGCGGTCAAAAATACATGGACTGTGAGGTTTCATCCCTATCTAGACCAATCTAAATGGCCGGAATATCACAGACTCCCACTATACCCTACTACTTATTGACCTTCCCATTGATTTTTTCCTTGAAGAGGAAAGGGTGATGCAGCAAAGTAGAGATAAGTATTTCCCTCACTTAAGAACCAAGGTATCAATCCAGTAGGAGGCACAAGCAAGTCTCCAATCTATGCACCTGCACAAACTAACAAACACTTGCACTCAATACGAAAAAAGGCTTGTCAATCCCTTCACAGTTTCGAACAAGAGTGAGATCTAATAGAGATAGGTATAAAAGATAAATAAAAAGGCAAACTAAAATAAATCTAAATAAATTGCAACAAGGTATTTTTGGGGTTTTTGGTTTATAGATCTGAAAATATATGTGAAAGTGCTAGTATTCGATTAGAGGGGGGGGGGGTGAATAGGCGATTTTTATGAAAGTCTTCAAACAGGGGTGTTTTGAAGACAAACAATAGAATTGAACCTATAGATATGCAGCGGAAGGTAGACTACACTAGACAAGCTATAGTCAAGTAAGCAATGAAGTGAAAACACGAAGACTATAAGCATTTAGGTAGATTGGATCAGGATGGAAGATAGTATGAAGCCAAACAGACAACAGTCTTCACACAGTGAAGTCAAACAGATAAGGTAGGTAGGCAAAGACTTCATGAAGACAAACTATAAGTAAGGTGAGAGAGGTAGGATAGAACTAGTTGCTCGGAGAGGACAAGGGATTTGTTGGACCAGTTCTAGTTGCTGTGACAACTGTACGTCTGGTTAGGGAGGCTGAGATTCAAATCAGAAGACCGCGTCTTCACCTTATTCCCCTTGAGCTAAGAACACTTAGTCCTTGCCCAATCACTCTGGTTAGTCTTCAAGGGAGACTTCCAAAGCTTCACAGACTTCGTTCACCGGCAATCCGCAATGACTCTTGGATGCTCAGAACGCGACGCCT